AGGATGCCGTCCCGTCACCGGGTGTTCAGTACTGTCCATTCGTGGGGGAATCAGTAAGGACACATTTCATGCCTTTTGTCCTGTTGTAGCCAGATGGGGCCTGTGGATACGTGCGAGGGCATCCCAGCATGCACAGGGTGGCCTTGAAGACATGGTGGGGCACGCGTAGCCTCCCCCACCCCTGTGGGGTCTGCTCCCATTCCTTAATTGCTCGTTAGTGGGTGCGGAGTGTGGACATGGGAGTCTGACATTCACAGTGGGCGCGGAGCCCGTCATCATGAGCAGCCTGAGGCCGCCGTAGCGATGAGCCGGCTGGGGGGCGCCCCAGAGCCTCCTGCATCTGCTCAAGCTCTCGCGGGCCCCTGATGATCTACGACACAGGTGTCAGACTCCAGTCCTGGGGGGCCGGACCCTTGTACATTTTTGGGTTTCCTTTCGTTTAACACACCTGATTCAACTTCTTGTGCTAATTACCACATAGCTGTTGAACTGAATCATTTGTGGTGGAACAGGGAAATAACTAAGCTACACGGCTTTGACACCCCTGATCTACGGTTTCCCCACTGGGCGTCTCCATGCTTCGGGAAGCCCAGTATCGACCTGTTTCTTGTCAGAACTTCTGAACCTTGGGGTTCAGACCTTAGGGACTGCGGACTGAGGTACAGTGATTTTACTGCCCCATGAGAGTCCTGGGTTGCTCCCTGAGCGATACCTGGGTAATGATTAATGAGTGGCGTCTTGCAAGGGCTTATGGGAGTTTCTGGTGAACCTTTGCTGTTCTGAGTTCAAGGGGCAGTAGGAAATGCTTTTCTAATTGCGCTTACGGCGTGATAATGCATCAGTGTGTGATCATCATTACATCAGTTTAGTACCAGATTACCCACCCCACCACTGTCCCGGTGCTCCAGATCGCCCCCTGAAAGGTGTTCCAGTACAATCCTTATTTTTCCTGGCAATTCAGTTCAGTCTCCTGTTTTTTTTTTTTTGGAAATGGGCGTCAAAGGTGGAGAGCCCTCTTGGTTTGGAGCACAGCTTAATGCAGCTGTGTGATTTACTGCGGCTCAGTAGTTTCCACAGCGGCAGGAAGGTCTGCCCGCTGGATGGAGTGCAGGGTTTGTGCTTGGTGACATGGGGTCCGCTGGAAGCATGCCTGCTTTGTAGGAGTGTGAGCACTGGACAGTGAGGAGCGGATATGGAGGAATGACCCCTGCCCCCCCCCCAGCTGCTAGGCAGAGGTCGCCAAGTCCGGATCCCCGGCCTCTCAGTTCCCCTCCCCAGAGCATGGCCCATCGTGGCTGCCGGGGGGTCACAGGTGCTCTTCTGCCTCTTATAGATACGCCGTTTGGTTTCTCTTGTTTCCAGTTTTGCTTCCTTCATCCCTAGTTTGTTTTTCTCTATTGGGGGGACTGAGGGGGGTGGGGGTGACCCATTCCTGTCCTCCATTCTCCTTCCAGCGCCGAGCCGCCACCTTAACCCTCATCGGCGCTGTGTTGCAGGTTTCTCCATTCTGATGTCTCCCTTTGTCCTTGCGTATCTAAATTGGTGGACAGTATGGTCTCACGGGAGGTGGGAGCCTGGTGTGCCGGAGCCGGGATCATCTCCCCCCCCCTCCCCCATCGTCTGTAAAGCACTGTCTCTGGGGGGGGGGGCGTGAGGGTGGGCTGGCCCTGCTCATGGCGTTTCCCAATCGCCAGCGTGATGTGATGAATACTCAGACATGGGGTGGAGTCAGAAACGGGGATGAAGAAACAATATCATGAACATGTGAAATAGTCGGGATATGAATGTCATAATTGTTTCTCTAACATGGTAAAACTGGGTAAGCATGCTGGTTCCCAGTCATCCATGTCCACCCCTTTTAAAAATACAGTGTGCAGCTCTGCAGTTCTTCCTTTGTTTTTCATGCCAGTTTGGGGGAGCATGGACACCAGCGTCCCCCCCACCCCCCGTTAAACTCCACCCTTAATATTAATGACACTCTTACTCTTTTACAAACTGAACATAGAATCCTGTGGGAAACCTGTATGGGTGAGGAAGTCGTGTCCTGATGGGGCCGATGGTCTGAAGCCATGTGCCTCTGGGCGGCGACTTACTGGCCCCCCAGGCCTGAACGGGCACCTGGTCAGTGCTGGGTGGGCGGCTGCGCCCCGAGCTGTGGAAATTCAGAGCGCAAAGCAAACTGACAGCTACTCAATGCCAGTCCGTCAGTTTCAGAGCAAATATTTGCTCCTCCGCCGCACAGCATGGTAATTTAGCAAATCTCCATGCTGGTGAACCACTCTGCTGAATATGTAAATCAGGGGACACTGCTCCGCTTCTGCAGGCGAGGGGGTTAAGGGGAGGAAGATGAAAGCAGCGTTGGGAGGGAAGGCGTGAGCGTCGAGGAAGCATCCTGAAGAGCAAAGACCGCTGTCCAGCCTCAGGACTGGCATGGCGGGGGGTGAATGACAGAGTGGGGGAGGCCAGGATAGAGGAACACATGCGGTTTCTGCCGGAGACGTTGCACCTACCTGTGAGCGCGGCGTCTGGCCCCCAGCAGATGGGCAGCCCCTTCCGGAATCTTCCACTTGCCAAGAAAGCAGTGCCTCCGGTTCTTCATCCGCCTCGTGTCCAAAAGTGATACTGTAATTCTGACAAAGCCGTGGGCCCGCGTGGAGTCTCCAGCTTCCTGAGCGCAGCCCCCCCCCCAGGACGAAACGCAAATAACAGGCATTCTTCGCATCCCCAGGCCTCATTACTGAGAAACGACTGTTAATTCACAAGTAAATAGATTTAGCAGTTTTTTTTCCCCTTCCCCCCAAATCCAGGGTGACAATTAATGCGTGACATGAATCCAAGAACAGACTCCCAAGCTGTTCACAACACTTTCTTCTTCTAATTAGAAGCCGCTCCACCCATGCCCCCGCCCCCATCCCCCGACCCCACCCAGAATCCACGCTGTTTCTGTGTGAGAGGGGCTTTGGGTACAGAATTCTGGCTCTTGGTCCCCCCCGTCCCCCATGCTCCCTACCTGCTAAAGGACCGGTCCCCCCCCGCTAAGCTCTGCCGGAATCCTTTGTTCCCAAGGCTCCCTGGCTGAGGAATGAAGTGGCTTTTCTCAGAGCCCTGGTTGACGTCAGGCAGCCTGCGGTTTGTGAGCAGACTGCGCCCGTTTTCCTGTCTCGGCTGCCCAGGCCGCTGTCTGTATTTGAAGCCCCGCCGTTAGAGTTCACCGCTGAATGGCTTCAGTTTTCTCCGAGTGCGATGTGCCGTTCTGAGGCTCCCTGAAAAACAAGCACAGTCTAGGGCTCAGTCAGCCTGCTTCTCGGGGCTGAAGGATCTGCGTTGGCTTCCGTCAGAACCTGCTGCTCCTTTCTGCTGCCATTTGTCTGCGTCTGCCGTCCTCGCTCTCATCCGCTGCTTCTCTTGCCAGTTGAACTGTTTTTGCGAGTTCCTGATCGTTGACGAGGGATGAAATGCTGTTTTACACAGGATTTTTTCATCCCTCTTTTTAAAGGAAGTCTCTCCCTTAGACAAATGTCAAAATATCTCAAAGTTGTTACCTCTTCCCGCCATGCCGGGCTGGCGGCGTGCAGCGCTCGCTCCGCTGTTAGCGATGCTTGTGACCAACAGCGTTAGCCTGTTAGCCTGCTAGCCTGCTCGTGGAGAATTGCTAGCCATGGTATTGGGCATCTCTTACTCTCTTGTAGGATAGCTGCTAAATATGCTAATTGGGAGCTCTGTCACCGTGCTGCTGGAAGGCTGCTGAAGATGTTAATGACAGAGGGTGTTAGGCCTGTGTAGGCGAGCCGCTAAAGATGCCGGTGATTAAACGTGTGATGCTGGTGATGACCTGCGAGCGTGCGAGAGGCGCGCGGTGTTCCCCGTCGCCTCTCAGGCCACCGTCCCATCTGCCAGCCCGCGTCTGTGACCTGCGCCATCCGCTCCGTGTCACGTCTTGGTGGCTCTGGGCTTGGGGATGGTGACCTCCTGTAAGAATAATGGGACTGTCATTTCTCCCAGTTCCTCATTAGCGCGCTGAGAAATGCGTCGGCGTTGAGGGGCTCGGCCTGCGCTGCACGTCAGGAACACGCTCTGATGATGCCGTGAACACGACCGTGTTTATAAATGCAGGCAGGCATCCTACGTCCTGGGCATTACATTCACATGCCAACTAGCTAGTGTGATTTTAACACCTCCAAGAGAAGTGAATGGTGCCCCCCCCCCCCCAGAGCTGACAATAGCGTGGGTCTGGGTAGCCACCATCACAGGTTTTGTGTGTATCCTGATCCGCAGCGCAGAGGTAAATCCGACAGCCCTTATCGGACTTCCACCCTAGTGTCCTGCATGGAATTAGATGCTTCTGATCTCCTCCTCTAAGCAGCGCTGGCTGCGGTTCCAGGCGTCCGCTGTACTCTGTTGATAATAAGTTAAAACAAGTGGCCTGAAGTCATTGCGCTGCCCTTGACTGGCTGCTGAGAGCTTCTGCAAAGCAAACGCCCCGCTGGCTGGCTGCCTTCTCTGGGCTTCTGCTGCTCCTGCTGCCGCAGGTTCAGTCTATTACTGGCTTTTTTTGTTTCTACATTCCTGTACGGCAGACAGTAGTTAGACCAATATAAATATGAAACGGTGGGGGTGAAAGTTTTTATTTTTTACAAAGTAAACCTCCCTCGTGAGTCGCGACTCCAGCCAGCAGTCCCAGGATGCAGTTTCCCCTCCTCCATTATTCCTGACATTAGTTTGACTGCTTGTACCACTCCTCCTGCAGTCAAGGTGTGACTTGTAGGGAGACATTCTGCTTTTGACCTTCATTAGCAGATGAGGGAGGTGTGGTTGGGTGGTCTTTACGTCTGTGGAAGCCGAGTGGCTGAACCCTGAATCCTCGTCTGGTCACTGTTGTTCATTCGCCCTGTGATTGGTCAGATTGTTTAGATCATGACCTGCCCTGATAGTCTTGTTTGCCTGCTGCTTAATGTGGCTATTCGGATCTAACTCCCCCCCCCCGTTTCTTCTCCCCCCAGGGCCAAGCCCGAGGCTCTTCATGCCGTTCTGGTTCTCGGTGGAGCCAGTGGACACCCTGGCGGTGCGCGGCGGCCCCGTCCTCCTGAACTGCTCGGTGCACAGCGACCTGCCCGCACGCGTGGACTGGAAGAAGGACGGCACCTTCCTGAACCTGGCGGCCGACGAGCGCCGGCAGCTGCTGGCGGACGGCTCGCTCCTGGTGGCCAGCGTGGTACACTCCAAGCACAACAAGCCCGACGAGGGCGTCTACCAGTGCGTGGCCTCCATCGAGAGCCTGGGCAGCATCGCCAGCCGCACGGCCCGCCTCAGCGTGGCGGGTAAGGCCCGTCGGACGCGCGGTGAAGCGGCACTCACCGGCTTCGTCTTTAGTATGGGGGGGGCTCGTGGACAGAGAGAGGAGGAGACCTAACAATTAATGACGGGCCCCCTTACAGCATGTCAGAAATACGGCCAAGTGCAAAATAATAAAGTAAATCATCAATAATAATAATAATAATAATAATACATTAGTACTCAATTCAGTTCTGCCTGCATGGGTCACCAGTTTGGCTTTACCGTAATTCCAGTGGTCAGAGATAGAATGTTATCTTCTCTCTTGTTATGGTATGATTTAAGACTGGATAATATAAGTAAGTATGTGCACTTAGTGTTGTATAAAATTTAAACAATAAGTGAGAAACTTTGATAAACTGTCAGTAAGGATTATAGGTTGATGTGTGCTATCAAGCAATCATGTTGCAGAAAGGAACGTAATTCCTGCCAATCATATGGCCTTTTAAAAATAGACATCCTATGGCCAACAAGCGCACAGCAGGGTTGGTTGCGTTAGCGGAGCACGCTACACGCTGCTGTTTTGATAACACATGTGAGAAGCGGATGATGATGAGAGCTTCCACAGAAGAAACTGTGTCGCTGTAGAAGGTGTAGAAGGCGATGGCACAGCAGCCACAGCATCTGTAAAAAATGAGAGATTGTGGCTAAACAAGGTAAGAAAGCATCAGTAGTGTGGCAAATAATTTGGCTGTTTGAGCAGAGCCTGGTGCAGCCCCATACAGCAGAACATACAGAATATGAATGCTTGCGGTCACAAACACCGGCAATGTCAAACCCGCCCCCCCGGAACAAGCAGCAGCTCAGTCAGAAAAGAACAAACCACACTGTCAGCGTTTTCTAGTGTTACGTTCCACAACAGGAAGGTTTGTTGTTTTATGAATGATTTATTAAAATTTGATTTCAGTTTGAAGTACCTTCAATTTGTGGTATTTTTTTTATTTTAAGATTCTGCTTAAGAAGAATTTTAAGCAAAAGAAATAATATTGTGGTAATTATTGGTATTAACTTGTATGAGGAACAATATCATGGTCAAATATTTTATCACATCAGACAGGGAGTATACAGCACAAAAACGTCACGTATGTGAGGAACGGGGTTCAGTCCATGGATACAGTGAGGATGCAAACTGAGCAAAGGCCAGATTCGAACCCGTATCCCTGGAAATGGCGCTGCCGCAGAATTCCTCCAGCAGCTGGAGAATAACTGGAGTTTAAACGCATGCTTCCGGAGAGCGGTTTTCACGGAGGTGGCTGTCACCTCCGCGTGATGGACGTGATCTTACTCTACTCCTGCTGCTCACCGCGTACGAGTACGAGGACAAGGACTCTCGCCGTCCCCTGGGAAGGAAGGATTTGTGCTCAGTTTGCCAGAGGGGGCTTCGTCCAGAGTGCCGTGGTTTCCGACAAATGTTTCCCCGCGCCGCTGACCTTCCTTTGTGGAGTCGCGGGAGTCGGAGAGCCGGCTTGGATTCAGGAGTTCAAAATAAGAATATTTCTTACAGACCCGTCTAGTAGTGATTTTGAACAGCAAGACCGAAAATGATTAAGAGCACGTCTCAGAGAGCACATACAGAGCTCGTGCAAAAGCAGCGGTAAACTTTAGGCTGATTTTAAACATATGATAGATAATCTTGATAAGGATCAATCATTAAAATAGCAAAGCTTGCTAAGTTTCCTATGACAGTAAAAATGTTTTAATTAAACATCAAAATATCAGACCTTTCTTGCAAAATTGTTTTTTGAAAATACGGTATGCAGCAGTATATTATCTAGACAGTATCTAGGTATGAAAAGGCCTGATCTCACACTGCTCACTATTGCAGTCCTTGTAATGTGGGAATGACATACGATGGTGATTGTTAATATCGCATCGCCCAGCCCTAATTGTGATTGGTGGTTCTCTGTCACTCACTACATTAGTCATGGAAAATGAGAGCCAAGTAAGTTTTCTTTTTGTACCAAGCAGGAAAAAAGTTGTAGCATGACATGTTTGATTTTTCTTACTTGACATTGCACATCCTGTGATGTGATTATTCCGCTTGCACACACTGCAATGATGCTAAAGCGGCATAGCGTGCTGCCCGAGTCAAAATAATTGAAAAGCAATGGTACAGAGATGGGGGGGGGGTGATGTCACGCTGCCTCTGAGCTGATTCCCTTGAATCGCAGTCTGTGTGCATTCTGGGTAATTTATGCTAATGCAGGAGGAGCATGTTAGCATTGGGGGTTGGAGTTTCGCCACACCACTGTGCAGTTGTAATCTTGAGAATTATGCAGCTCAGTTCTGAGGGAGCGGGGGAGATGGAGGGGGGGGGTGTGCGTGATGGGGTGGGGGGGAGAGATGCCTCCCAGCGTTATCCGGCGCCTTCCCTGCTGGTAGCTGTGCGATTAAAAAGGTTAATTGCAGTGTCTTTGGCATCCACCATCACTTTCCAATCACAGTTGAAATTGCAGAGGCGATGCGGCTTGTCAGGGAAGGGGTGGGGTGGGAGCTGCTGGAGTGCTGACAAAATGGGGGGTAATATTAGTGATGGACGAGAGAGAAGCGTGCCCTTGCTTCTGTTACGGGCAGGTGCCGGGCTGCTCTGCTACCTCTGCTGCTCCCTCTGCTGCTCCCTCGGCTGCTCTGTCTGGTGCTCTGCTCCCTCGGCTGCTCTGTCTGCTGCTCCCTCGGCTGCTCCGTCTGCTGCTCTGCTCCCTCGGCTGCTCTGTCTGCTATTAGACATTTTCTCTTGTAGTTCTCTCCTCTTGTGGCTACAGAGACTTTTTTTTTGGGGGGGGGGCACCTCGCTCTCCTGCCGTCGGGTGCCACTCTTAGCTTTTAAGTCCCTCACTGTCCTGTAAACACGTCTTGGTGCCAGGCTCAGGCTCGCTATTGTGCAGGTGGCTGTTCATTTTGGACGGTGCGTTAAGTGTTTCTGTCTGTCCCCAGCCTCCCTTTCCTTTGGCGCTTCTTTGGGGAGTAGGGATAGGAGCCCCCACCTGGGTACAGCTCTTACTCTGTCAAGTCACCCCCATGCAAGTCTGAAATGCTGTGGTTTGTCTCTCCTGCCTTTGTCTGCACAGAGGGCACTTCTGGTTCTGTCCTGCTTTTTAGTATGATGCTCGTAACTACATCTGCCTGCGCAGCCTGGTGTTTGCCTGCGCAGCCTGGTGTTTGCCTGCGCAGCCTGGTGTTTGCCTGCGCAGCCTGGTGCTTGCCTGCGCAGCCTGGTGCTTGCCTGCGCAGCCTGGTGCTTTAGCCACTTTTATACCATGGCACAAAGCAGCAGGAATGGCATTGACACCCAGACATGCATTTCCTTTGGTATTCTATAAATGCCTCCAGGCATCCAGATATGCTTGCGATGATTCTTCCAGGATCATTCCCGGTTCAGAACCTGTCCAGCCAAGCACACGCCTGAGCACGATGGATTTCTGATCCGCTTGAACAGCCCGTCTTAGGATAGCCCGGCCCTCCTGTAGGGGCCCACAGTGTGGCACCACTCTCGGGTATCTGGAACCTGCGCTGCTTGTTCTGAGCTCTCGGAACGTACCCCGTGGCTTCGGCATCCCGCGACCCATCTCCAGGTCCGCTGCCTGCACCGGGTCGATATCTGCTGTCAGTTCTTACCTTGGCCTTGGTCTGTCATTGGCTTGTCACTCTTTCCCCATCTTATTAGTGGCTTGTCTCCTCCTCTTTGCTGCTGGCTCCGCGGTCCTGATCCGAGGGGCTCACACACCTCCGTTTGGCTGTTTTCGGTCGGTTCTCCCTCTGCTGTATGCAGCGACCTACGAAAGGACAAACGTCCCCTGAAGCATGACGCAGTTATTATGGTTCCTGCATCCCCCTGTCGCAGAATTCTCATCAGGCAGGTGGCCATTTTTCCCCTCGTTTGAAGATTTATCAGTCGGCATCTGCAGACACGCGCCGCTGAATCCCATATCAGAGGCCGGGCCGGGCGCTCACGGACCCCCATGCCTGAGAGGCGGCAAATGGCTGATCGAATTAGCGGCGAGGCCAGAGCAGCGGCCCCCCCCATGTTTTGCAGAGGCTCGGCGTGGGGCTGGTGCTGTCTGCGTCACCTGCTTGGTCTTATTCACTCTTTTGGGTCCTAATTGGTCCCAGGAAAGGCAACCCCACCTTGGCCGTTTGTGGCTCTATCAGGTCCCCAGGGCGAGCAGCAGGACGTGACTCCTCCAGGAAGGAGAAGACGCAACCTGTCATCCGAAATGCTCACCCAAAGGATCTAAAGACCTGTTCAGAGCCAGTGAAATGAAGATCCGTTTCCCACGAAAGCTCCCCACTGCTGGGACCTTGTCTGTCTCCCGGTCTGCCTGCGCAGTGTGTCTGTCTCCCGGTCTGCCTGCGCAGTGTGGCTGTCTCCCGGTCTGCCTGCGCAGTGTGGCTGTCTCCCGGTCTGCCTGCGCAGTGTGGCTGTCTCCCGGTCTGCCTGCGCAGTGTGTCTGTCAGTCAGCTCTGCTTTGCTTTTGACCTTCACCCATGCATTTAAAATGCCATCCAGTGCTTTTATTTTCTTTATTAAAAGTTTACTGTTGTCAGTGATAACCCGAGGTGCGTTATCACAGTGACACTGCGCAGCTTTGTCTGTGCTGCATAAATGAGGCACTCTGTCTGGCAGGGTGTGTTCAGCAGTGGCAAGGTTATTTATCTTAACGTCCAAAATGTCAGTTCCTTAGGGAATAATGTCTAATAAATAGAAATGTTAGAGGATGTCATGTAGGCCAGTAAACTGCTGCTTTTCCCCCACCACATGCTGAGGATCGCCCACATGACTGTGTGAACCTGGCCGAGTGGGCGTTTGCCACTGGGTGCCCCGCCCTGCTGGGCGTCTGTCTCACTTGGCGGTTAGCGTTAGCATTAGCCACACCGTATCATGTGCCTCTGTCTGCTGTGGGGGCTCAGGGAGCATTTACTCTCTCTTCACAGTGATTAAGGGGCCTAATGTTACAAGGTCTTTGAGGCCTTACTTTGACGTCTTACT